GTATTGGCTTTGTAGCATGAGCCAGAGAGATTTACCAGAGATAATCTGGCTCTTTCACAATCTAGTATGCAATTCCTGAAGGGTAGGGCTATGCTGGCAGGTTAACAGGCACACGGCACACAACAGCACAGTGAGAAGTCACAGATAACCCAAAGGTGSCATCTTTGGAGAACGATGAGTAAGCTGCTGTGAGCCAGCTGAGTATAGATGGATCCATGCCGTCAGTATGAGCTATTCCCAGCTCTGACCTTGACTTTCTTTATTGGGAAAGCTATTTAGATTCTGTCACAGCTGAGTTGGAATGCAAAAAAAGACAAAAGCAACATGGCCAATGAGGGGTGGATGGGGGATGGGGAGAGGTGACRGAGGAGAAGGTGAACTCAGCTGTTTACATTATGCTATAGATGCCACGAACCCTGATCTGAGCTCAACATGTTAGCTTGTTCATTACAAACACAAATATCTTTATATTTATATTTCACTGCTTGTTCCACTGTACAAGCAATCTGCYGTCAAAAAGAAAATACACAGTCACTCAAAATAAATCTGTTTTCTTCAGGGAGTTTATCGTTTTTATCCATTATACAATATTTCATTTTATATGGAACAGATTCTTATGCGCAGGTTATTAATACCTTTGAATCTGTGTGTTTCAACATAACAATTCTAATGACATCCCAATGATTGAAATATACCGTGATAATTTTACCTGTACCGATAATTTTTAAACTATCCTTTGATTTATAAATCCACGTGCATTATGGATTATGTTAACAAGTACAGAGTATGTTAACAAGTACATGCTTTTAAGAAAGTGACTGAATTTTCCACTGATTTTGATTAAACTTGCTAATATATCCAGGACAATCATTCACAATACATTATCTCAAATTCAGACACATAACAGTTCAAGGAACCAAAAGAGATTTATTACACACAACACAAACKGATAGCAAACAGCACCTCTGAGAGRGGCCTTCCACAAAAGATTTCCTGATTAGGTACAGATCTTCATAATGACCACCRAAAAAACAGGGATAATAAAGCTCAAAAATAACCTGAAAATGCTGAAATCACCTTGTTTCATAAATACAAGATTTTCACCAGTCCTGAGCAGCAGCTCCATTGGAAATTGTCAGAGAACTTCCAACTCCTATCAACAACCAGCTAAACATTTATTATTAACCATCAGTATTTCCCCAGTACTACAACAGCACCTGGAAATCCAGACTGGAACACCATGCTWTGCAAGAGATGGCTACTGAAGTATCATCCTCTATATCTCTGGTAACAACTCCTATAAAAATCTGTATATATACAAAATATGTAAAAATCATTTTAGACATTAGTAGTGGTAGGATTGATGAGTCACAAGAAGAAGGAAGATACTGCACAATAAAGGGGAGGAAGAAAAATGAAGAGAAGAAACCAAAGGGAAAGATACAGATTACATTGTCCTACACCAATGCTCACTAGGCTAACTTTTCTTTTTTCTTTTTCTCTTTTTTTTATTTTTTTTTTCTTTTTTAATTTTTTTTTCTTTTTTTCAATCCAATTTATACCCTGGCCAGTCTGTGCCTACATCACTCATACAATTCAAGCCTTGTGCCAGACACAAATTTACTACMGTTTATTCCAGCTGTCTCACAATAGCTGAGATACAAGGGGTTAGAATAGGCCCAAAAGAGACTCTCATTTCAAAAAAAAATAAAAAAATCAAAAACACTTTGAAGTGTTGTAGGTCAAATAGTTGCAGGAAGTCAGTGGAGGAAGGGGTTGTTCCAGCAATAACTAATCATCTGAATGAAACGATTMATTTGATGTTCATCATTTTCCCCTCTCATTTCTGCAGTATAAACACCATAACTTCTACTTCAGTGTCATGTATCCCAATTTGTACCCCACTGTATCTCAAGTCATACTTCACATGAGGGACAGCTAACATTATTGGGAAGTTCAGTTCAGCAGCATGAACTTCCAATCAGTAAATACTAAAAGCAATAAATCTACATGCCCACACATCCTTGAAACTGGGTTGGTTAAAAGCTAAAGATCAATTCAGTTCTCCAAGGCTAGGATGATATCAAGTCTGTAGGAAATACTGCTTTACTGCTCGTCCTGGGTCCACTTTGCTGCACTAGTTGTAAAAGTGAGCTCAGCTTGGAGAGCTTGAATCCAACCCTCTACTATCCATATGGGATGGTACAATTTGCCAGAAAATGGCAAGATATACTCCACAATTCCTACAGAAGAAGTTTCTGGACAGGATTTCTATCCCATGTAGAAGCTAAAATACCGCTCCTTTCAAACAAGACCTTTGTGTGTTCTGCTCAGATGCACTAGCTCTTTCAAGCTGTGAATTGTTTCTTGATCTCAGAGATCCTTCTTTTCTAGCAGTTCCTGCAGTGCTTATTTCCCACTTTTCCAATACTTTCGCTTCTGCATATTTCCTCTGATTAAAATCCGCTCTAAGTTAAAATCACTTCCTCAGTGACTCATTTTTCTAACCTATAGGATAAGGTAGCTAAACTTCTCATATCCATCATCTAAGTTTGACGTGTATTTCCTGCCAAGTCCAGTTAAATCTTGGCTGCCTCAAAACCCTTATCTCCTTAGTCTCTTCACCTTCCCAAACACTGCCTTTGCCGATTACAGGATACATTTCCCCTTTTGTTGCCCGACAATCCTTTCCTGCTCCTTTCTCCTTTTCATTCATCCCAGTAAAATTCATTCCCTTCTGTCTTTCCGAACAATCTTTACAAAAGGAAAAAATTTATTTAYCATTCATCTTCCCAATCTGCACTTCACCCTTCCTCTGTGTTTCGGTCAGTTTCCCTCTTTTCCTCCCCGATCCCTTTTTCTTCTAAACCGCGTATTGTCATAATCTCCTCCGGCATCTGCCCTCTAGCTCCTTTTGTGCTCACTGTGCTGTCCCGGCTCCTATCGCCCATCCGAAGCCTCCCCAGCCCGTCCGTCCCAGCCTGAGGCGGTCCCCACRCAGCGGGCGAGGCGCGGCGGTGCCAGCAGTACCCGGCCGCTGGCGCCAGGGCCGGGGCGCTCCCCAGAGCCGAGCTTTGGGGTGGAGGCGCCCTCCAGAGGCGCCGCGGAGCCCTGCCCTGCCCGCCAGAGCCGGGGACACACGGCAGGGACTCGGTGCAGCCACGGCCGGGAAAACCCCTGCGCTTCCCATGGCCKGAGAGCGCGGCTGCTCCGCAGCAGCTCTGTGTCCGCTCGGCGGCTGGGGCGGAGAGAGGGAGGGCACGGCTCGTCTCCCTCGCCCTGCTCGGCTTCGGCTTCTGCTTCTTCTTCTCCTCCTCCTCCTCCTCCTCTTGGTGCCCGCCCTCCGTTCCTCCTTCCCTCCCTGCCGCGCCGGCGAARCCGCGAGAGCGACGCCCGCCCCGCCAGGGCGAGGGAAGGAGGCGCAGCCCGCGGGCAGGAAGCTGGATGAGGGCGTGTGTGCGGGCAAGGCAGCCCCTCGGGCATGAAGGGGACCGCAGGGACGCTGCCCTGCCCTGCCGCCGWGCGGGGACATCAGGTAAGCGCCCCACACGCCTGCCCGGCGCGGCCCGACCCGACACACCTCCGATGCCAGGAGCGCGCCCTGGAAAGTTATCCTCCCGCCGGCGGCGGCTGAGGGGCGGGGGGCAGGGAGCGGGCGGGAGGCAGGGGAGGCGGGCGGGAGGCAGCCCGCGGTGTGGGGTCGCACATCGGTTCTTTGGGCAGGAGCCGCTCCGCGCYCCGGTGCCTCAGCGCGGTGCCCGAGGCCGTGCCTCCCCGGCCGGAGGGAGTGCGGCGCTGGCGTCCCGCGGCCCCCGCCGCTCGGCACTGGTGGCAGCGGCCGTGCCGCGCCCCGCAGAAAGTTTCTAGMGCGGTGAGGGGCAGGGAGAAGCGGGGCAGGATCACCGCGGGAGGGGAGCGTGGGCACGGAGAAGCACCCTTTCTGTGTTGCCGTGGGCAGCCGGTGCCGCAGCTTCCTCCCGGGCGGCAGAAGCGGGGCTGCTGGCAGTTCACTCAACTTGTTTTACTCTGGCGTTGTTTACACTCTAGGCTGTTGCCGGAGTAGGATCAAGTATCCCTAGAACTGTAATACTGGCATCCTTAATGGCTGCGTCTTACTCTTCCGTGAAATTTACCTGCCTCCTTGGGTTAGTTTAGGTATGTTTAGGCAAAACAAACCAGGCAAAGTCTTACCAGAAAGAGATGCATAACAGTACRCCTGAGACTTTAGTAGGTTTGTTATGTTGTATGATGTAACAGTAAATGCAATTGCTGTTCTTATTGCAGCACACGTCTTTGTGACTTTTTTACTCAACATTTGTGGATTAAGCAGAAAATTTTAATGAAATGTGTGAAYCATCATAACCCTGTTGGAGGTCAAATCCCAGTTTAAATGTTTCGCAATCATTTTCTTCCCCCTTTGTAATTTATATAAAGGGCAATAACACTCATATAGTTCACTCAGTTCTTCTGAAGGAACTTAAAGAATCAAAAGTGAACAGAGTTCCACGCAGAGGCTCTAGATACCTTTGCTACAAAGTAGAAAAGCAACACTGAGCCATTTTAAAGAAAAATAACTAATCAAAAATCTGTACCTTGGGAAGCCTCCTTCCCCAGCCTGAACAAAGAAGTGTACATTGCAAACTGCACTGAGAGTGAAAAGATTCAAGCCACTTCAAATGAGGCAATTTYCCCTTACAGAGAATGCTCTGCACTAACTTGCTTGGTTAATCAGAGACAGTCTACCTTAACTATTAAGCTGCAGTTCTGTTTTACTTCCAAATTTTCAAATACCAAGATAATCCCACAATATTTGTTGCAAAAGCTGAAGGAAAAACTCAAATGCAAGGAGCTTAATTTTGTTAGACCAAAAAAGTATGAGTAGCTTTTTGGTTTGGGGTTTTATTTTCGTTGGTTGGTTGGTTGGTTGGTTGGTTGGTTGGTTGGTTGGTTGGTTGGTTGGTTGGCTGGTTTTCAATACGACAAATTTGAAACCAAATTTAGGTTTCAAAAGCAGACTAGATTTAGCAACATACATCTGTTGCAGCAGGTAATGCCTAACTGTTTTACATTGATCAGGCACTGTACTTGAGGTGATTTTCAGGCTGGGACTTCTGTTAATAAGCACATGGATATATTCCTTTAGAAGGTCTATCACAGTTAATGACCCAATGCAGCTCTAAGATTGCTTTACATATGCTCAGGCTTCTATTAATGGACTTTTATGTTGCATTAAGCCAAGAGAAGGCTGAGGAAATAGAAGAATAGGCATGTATAAAACCTGAAATGCTTCCCACTTTTGTGCATTTTGTTCACTGGTTGGTTTTTTTGATTTTTTCTTTTTCATTGTCAGCTTCAAATATAACATGTCTCTGGGCTTTCATGCAAGMGGCAGGTTTTATTAAACATATGATACAATTTTCTATTGTGAAATGTTCTGTAGCTCTTACTTCCTTGAAAAGATATAACTAAGTAATTATCATTTTTTTTGACAGCATGACAGTTAAACCTCAGTTTGCCTAAGAGTGTGCATGTGTAGTGTGTGAAAAGGAGATGTCATTCTGAACTGTCTGACTAACTTTTCAACATGTTTTTTTTTTATGAAAGTGAATATATTTTAAAATCAGTATTAGGACGTAACTAAGAGGTAACTATGAATTAATGTAGTGATGTTGGGTCTAACTTAAGCTTTAAAATTAATACATTTAGTATAGTTTTCATATTTGGAAGCCTATGGAATTAGTGCTCGGTTCTGCAACCAGATATTTGAGTTAATTTTATTCACATCAACATCTCAGTTAAATTCACAGAAGTATTAGTATTAAGCTATGCTGAGGTGGAACATGGATTTTTTCCTCTTTAGAATATACTGAAGCAAAATGCTTTGTTTGCTGATATCTGTTCTGATAACATGTCCAAATTGTGTGTGGTGGYTCCTATCAAAAGCTGAGCTCCTGTTAAATGTCAGAAGCTTAAATGTAGCTGTGTGTGCAGCAAATATTCTTTTGCAACATGTGAAATCTTGAGCAATGAAAATGGCCAGCTGAGGCAAGGGAAGTGCCATTAAGGTAGGAAAGTATGGGAAGTTAGGTAAAGGGGGGCAGGGAAAGAGGAGAAATTTAGGAATTGAGGGTTTGGTGATTTGTTTAGTTTTGGGTTGTTTTTGGCTGTGGGGGTTTTTTGGGTTTTTTTTTGATGGGGGGGCTTGTTTGTTTTTTTGACGTGAACATTTGCTCTAAAGACAAAGTTACTAGCTTTCGAAGGTAATGCACACCTCGAGGATTTTGTGTAGAGGGGTACTTGAAGAAACAGGTGAGGTATTTGCTTTTACCCGAAAACTGTGGTTGTCTGTATTTTATTCTTATAGTTCTGTTAGCAGACCTTGCACTGCTATATTTAAAGGCTTCTCTTGAACCATGATAGAAAACTTTTTACTTCATCGTTAAACCCATCTGGTGTGGCTGGATAGATAAAATCAATGTGAAAACTATTTAACTGTTTGTGGTGTTTTTACAGAACCAACAAACTGATAAAAAGTGGAATATACTGCAAGAAAATTGCATCTCAGTTACAAGTTCAGTGCCCAGGCACTGAGAAATACATATGATAAATCCATAGAAAGAGAGGGCTGGATTTAGGGAAAGGATTCCTCCTGGATCACCACAAACGAGTAGTATTCTTGCAGAATGACTTTTCACTTTGCATGCACGTTCTGGGTGTTTTTCCCCGTCAACAGCTACATTTCCACTTGTTTCCTCTCATCTGGAAGACTCCTCATTATTCAATTTTTGATTTCTTTGTCACCTTGTTTAGATCTCTGGTTAGTTAATATTTTCTGCTGAATTCCTCCAATTTCTTCCTTTATTCCTCAGGTAGAAATTACTTTATAAGGAAATAACAGCTGTAGCCTTCCAACAAGTAAACTGTAAAGATTAGTTCAAGTAGTGTGTTGTCTTTTATGCAAGAATATTGTATTGCTGATCATTTTTACTCATGGTACCTCTCACCACAAAAATACCAGAGTAGCTACACACACTGTGTGTCCTCATCCTGTATTTTCTCAGTTGATTATTCTTAATTAAACTACTTACCTTCTTTAATTGCATCTTAACTTTTTCCTAGATCATGTTTTTAGTTTAATGTTATTGTTCTGAGTTTTAGTCCTGTATACCAAGATAGCTCTGGCTTCTAGAYCTCCTTAGTCTAATGTCATGCTCAGATGTAAAAACTATACTCCGTAACTTCTCTTATTAATAAAGTGATTAATACCTATCTGGGAAGACTAGGGGAGCCTTCTCTTAATATGGTTCTGTAACCTATTTTCTTAATTAACTAATGTAATGGATTTCAGTCCATAGGTATTTTAAGAGTGTATAAATGTGGGTACTATTGTCTTKTAGAAACTTATGAAGTCCAGAATGGGAGTAGTATGTATTTGTTTAAGAAAGGTTTTRTTGCAAAACATCAGAGCTTTAAAGGAAAGAAAGTGCTCTTGAGCCTTTTAATTTAGAAAGTCTTTTTAATACAATAGTTTTACAGGGCAACCAAATACCTTTGCCTGAATGTCAGGTCAAAATACTCCTGGACAATGTACCTTGCAGTCGTATCATATGTACTATTTGTAATTGAAATGCYGTACACAAACCTCATGAAAATTAACAAGGTAATGTAAGTGCTAGTTTTACTTCTTARTTTCTAACAATTATTTGTAGTAAGTGACTTTAGTCACCAAATAATGGGGAAAARTATGTGAAATTATTGAGCTGTTTGATTAACTAATATGTTATAGATAATTTATAAAGGTCATTCAAGTTTAACATGAATTTCACATTTATTAAACCATTAGAAGAAAAGTACAAATAGTATTAAGGAAACTGATTCTCTGTTAGGTGTGAATYGCATTGAAAATCTAACCCATCTATGGTCTTCTATGAAATTGCCATTATGTTAAAYTTGAGGTTATATTTACCTGTTTTCTACTAATATGTAGAGGCTCAGATTTAATAGAGTGCTTCTGAACATCTAATTATTTTTTTTCCACTTCACTGAATTGATTCACTGTGATGTTCCAAATTAATATATTTGTCAGTATTGCTGTCAAATCACATTACATGTATCAGCCTCTGAAACTGAAGAATTACTTTTGGAAACTTCAACATATGCGAGTCATACAGAAGTACCCAAATAAATACCTTACTTGTGGTTGTGCATTAACCATTCAATACTTCTTGAATGGATGTGGATGTGTTTATTATAAATAATTTTGAAATCTTCATAATATCATGTCTGTATAAACATGGAGAGATAGCTTCTAGTTTTTTTTCAAGAATTGCATGATGGAATTTGAATTTTGTATTTTGRACATCCTCACTGTCTATGATCATTAAAAACATTGTAAAAACATGTTTTTCCATGTTGTAGAAAAGTAGATAGCTTTTAGAATAGACACTGAGAAAAACATTCCAAGATTCAAGAAATTGTATAATGTACAACAAAAACCCCATTCAGTAATCTAAAAATGACAARGTAACATATATA